AATTTATATCTCAAATAGTTAGCTAGTAATTATTCTTAGACTAAATTTGAGACATTTCTTTGAAATACAAGCAATCTAAATTTACTTGTCAGCAAAATTACCTACTAGTCATGAGCCCTTGGGTTATAGCCATTGGAAACATAAATGTTATTTCCTGGAGGATGAAGAGTGCAGTATACTAAATGTATCTATTTACTAAGTGTCTATCTCTATTACTAAATGTATTTTGACTTTGGTTGTTCTTGATTATATGAGAACAGTGAACTATTTCAGTTTCTTGCCTCATTAGAGGGGGGGAAAGTAACGTTGATTCTTGCACTATGAATTTGTGTAGAAAAGATGAGAGGGAGCATTGTTGAAATATTTCTAGTAGGTAGAGATCCCCAGTTCTTAAAGGTGGTCAGAATTTTCAAAATTTACAGCATTCAGGATTGTCACAATTTAAAATGGTGATGTAGGCTTGCAGAGGGGAAAGAAGGCCAATGTTTACTGAGTACCAGGCATTGTTTTACTCAGTTCAGCTAACCTTAATCTCATTAGCTCTGTGTAGGGTAGTTTCATTCTTCATTTTTTTCTTCTCCTTTCTTCTCTCTCTTTTCCTTTAGCTTTGCTGAATTACTACAAAGCAAATTCCAAAGATGCTGTTGTTTCACCCCTACATATTTGTAATTAGGGTGAACATTTTCTTGCATAACCACAATGCCATTACCACATTCAACAAAGTGACAATTTTTTTGATGCCACTTAATACCCAATGTAGAATCTAGGCAAATGTCTTTATGTGACTGGTCTATTTAAGTCTGGATCGACATTTGGTTCGAACACTGCTGTGACTGTTAGATACTTGTCTCTTTCTGTCTGAACCAGTCCCTCTACCTGCCTCTTTTTTTCTGCCATTTGCTGGCTGCAGAAACTGGGTCAGTTGTCCATTGAATTTCTACATTCTGGGTCTGTTTTTTCTGTGGTGTAATTTAATTTGTGACTTTAACTTTCACATTTCCTGCAACTTTAAACGAGCTCTAGAGTCTTGATAGATTGGAAATTCAATTTTTCTTGGCAAAAATTCTTTAAAGGTCGACCCTAAACTTCACACTGTGTCATATCAGGTCACAATGCTTGGTTTTTTCCCTTGTGGTGATTCACATATGAATTGCCTTTGTTCCAAACTGACCTTTATGAGGGTTTCTTCCATTGATGATTTTTGCCTGAAACAATTTTCTTCAGAGCTGCTCAATGGTGATTTTATAATCTACCTGGCAACCCTGAAATACATTGTTGAAAGGAAAGGCAAGATAAAGGCCCATTTTCCCTTTTAATATCCACATCTCTGGATAAGGAATTGTAACTATAGAGGTTTCTTTTTTCATTCTATACATAGAGAAATTGAGACTCGGAGCTCTCAAGTAAATTGCTCCGGATCCTAAATAGCTATTAAGGAACAGAAGTGGTATTCAAACTTATCTCCTGGCCTCCAAGTGTAGCTCCTTCTAATTAACCAGAATTCATCCCTGAGTTCCATTCTCCAATTGCTGACAGCTGAGGGTGGCTACTGCGACTATCACCTGCCATTCTGTCCCTTAGGAGCCAGGCTTTGAGAACCCTTCCTTGCAGGCATACTGGGTTTTATGAACATACGCATGACACCAGGACTACATAGCTCCAAGTGGAGGCACTGGCCTGGAGGGGTAGAGAGCTGGGAAGAGCAGAAAACTTGCTCCAGTATTTATATAGTAGGAGAAGCTCTAGCATTACGACTTCCACAGCAGCCGAAGTATGAGTCACTCTCAGTTGCTGGTGGAGAGATACTGGCGATCAGATGTCTGAACATTCTAACTCTTTAAAACGTTTCCCCCTTCTTCTACCTCCTGACCCACTGTCAGTCTAAATTGAGGGAGAACTTAGCTAACCACCTAAATATTCCTTTAGAATGCCTAGGCCTCATTTCATCATGTGTCCCTGGCATCTGACATCCCTCAGTCCTCAGAAGCTTTCTGTGCATCTGAAGGTGTTAGCATTTTCAAGTGTTGGTAGAGAACAGAGACCATTTATTAACTTCGGAGATTTCCTTGGCTTTGTGGTATCTACGGCAACACAGGCTTCTAATGCTGGAGCCCCTACCTGATTCAGAGAAATAATATTTCTCATGACTTCATATAACCCAGAGGTGCAAAATCTACTGTTGTATAGTCTACACACTTACCCCTCTCAGCACATGGCAGTCTTAGAGACAAACAAATAACAAGCCCTAAAATTGCAGTTAGAGAGTTTCCTATGCTTAGTATGTCTAGACACTGGGCCTCGGCCTTTGATGTTCCTCCAAATTAAGAAGACCCACACTCCTGCCGTCTCACACCAGGACCTAAGTCCCTAAATACCTTTATTTTATATATCAGGCAGAAATGTTTGCTATCTTCATCCTTGCTTACAGGGTACTGTAAGAGAAAAGTTGAGAAAAGATGCCACAAGCCAAAGACAGGGTCCTCTGAAGCAGTTCTCTAGAAAAAACAGGGACGCAATTCTGTGATCTGCTTTTGAAATCGAACACCTCCCCTTCCGTGGGGCTTCAGCACTTGGCTTCAAAGCACTGCTTGCAAGTCGTATAAGTGGCAGTTGGTGATGGGCACTTCACAGACCACCGTCAGTGGCCCCACTGGGAACCCAGCTACTGGGAGAAGCCAGCAGTGATTAGGGGCAGCATTGGCTCCCCTGCTGTGCCACCACAGGGCATGCAGCACCCGCGCCTCCAGAGCCAACACCACTGCTGTAGCTCCAGCTGTAGGTGGTAGAGAGGCCTGAGGATCTGGTGCCTGGATCATAGAGAGGCCGACCAGGTGCGAGCTGTGAGCTCACTGGTAAATGGTCCAATCTGCGTAAGCTTGAGGCCCATCCAATCAGAGTGGTAGGTGGGGGATCTGGAGAGAGATGAGGCAGGGAGAAGTTCACTTGCAGCTCCTGTACTCCTACCCTCTCTGAGACGTACTTGCCTGGTCTTAACTTGGACTCGCTTGGGATGTGTCCTGCTGGACACTTGCTCGCTCATGCTGGATGCTCTCAGGCGCAGCTGACAGCTGACTTCCAAAGGAAGAAGACAAGCGGAAAGACTCCGCAGAGAAGCTGAAGAGATTCACAGAAGCTGGGCTGGCCGCACCCACCTCTGGCCTGCACGGGCTCTTGGGCCTAGTGTCTCAAAAGGCTGTTTGTTGGTGTGGGCCTGCAATCACAAAGAACCATAACACTAGTAACTGGTAGTGACTGGCACTGCTGTCCAGCCCTGTTGACAGGTGACCAGCACTAGTGTCCAAGTCACCTCTGAGAGCTGTTAATAGTCCAGTGGCATCGTGCCCTTGTACTACGTCTGTTGCTCTTTGGTCTGGTGACCAGTGCTGTCCATCCTGAGCCTTCAGATTCTGGATGCAGGCCACTGCTTCGTCAACTCAGTGGCCACACCTGACAGCCACTCCAGCTGTGGTGAGTTGGATCCGGATCTGCTGCTTTCTGGAGTGCCCCAAGCTCCTTGGCCTTGTTGATGGGACAGCGCCGTCGTGGATGAAGCGCCTTTTGTTTAGGACTTTTGGACACTATCTGGGGTGAGATAGATAGCCACTAGGGCTTTGAGAACTCATTGTTTCCCCTGTTTGTTAAGTAAGCCTCATTCTTGTTCCCTGAGTTTGACTGGTCTTGCAATTGTGCATGCGAGTAAAGAACCCAAAGAGGAGACCTGTCCTCCACTGGGCACTGTCCTTGGGCACTGTCCTTGGGTGGTTACAGCTTAGACCCCCTCCCCCATAGCCTTGTTTCACTTTGAAATGATCCAGTCACAGAATCCAAACATAAAGAGAAGGAAAACATACTGTCATTTAGAGGAACAACCAATTATATTTAAAAATCAGGCTTCCTTATATTGAATATGTATGTGGTCTAGAGCTAGTCAACAGAATTTTCTGTAATGATAAAAATATTCTTTATGTGCTGTCCAGCAGGGAGACCCCTAGTTTTATGTGGCTATTGAGCACTGACAAACTTAATTTTTTTATTGAAGGTCGTATTTGTTTAAGCACTGTATGCAGTTCAGAAATGCAGGATTCCAGTTTCTTCAGGTGTATGTTACCACACCACACGTACCGCCAGGGCATCTGCAGGCCTCCCCCATAGCCACCGGGCCTCCTCCTTTTTGCTCTCCTCCTCCCTTCTGGCACCTCAGTTTTGCCATCGGATTTCTAGGGTCATATTTGTTCTGGTGTTGTCTGACTGCTTTGCTCTCTATATTCCACATGGAAGTGAAACCAGCAATATTTGTCTTTCTCCTCTGGCTTCATATTTAGCATGATCCCTTCCAGTTCCACCCTTGCTGTCAGAGATGGCAAGATCCGTCTTTTTTTAATAATATTTTTTATACACTCCTTAGATTGTTTTTATAACTTGATTATTGTAAATAATGCTGCAGTGACGCTCATTGCATGCATACATGCAGTGAGTGCTTATGTCCTTGGAATTAGTGTAAAAACTTTTAAATTTTATTTTAACTAATATTAAGGTTTAATAGCACAGTAGCTAGACTTTACCATATTCAACAGTGCAGATGTGGCCCTTGTACTGCTTTTTATTTCTCCAAACAATATGAACAATTAAGAGCAGTTTTGAAACTTCAAAAATTGAAGGTACCAATTTCCTTAATCTTAGTAAGGAATTTCCCTTGTAAAATTAGATTTATGATGAGAAAAATAGTCCTAGCCTCTGTGCACAAAGACAGACTTTTATTATGAGGCTAACTTCAAGGGAAAATGAATTATGCTTAGTTTGACTTTTTAAAATTTGTGTAAATTGTATGTTTTAGTGGTGATGATAATACAATGAGATGAATGTACTTACTGCCACTGAACTGTACACTTAGAAGTGGTTAAAATAGTAAATTCCATGTCAAATCTACTTGCACAATAAAAAGAATAATGTGCTTGGACCCAACTTGAGCTTAATTTTGTTACAATTCCCACCACCCACAGGCCTGGCTCAAAATCTGGTCCTGCATGTTCCCGGCAGCAGTGTGTTTCTTTTCGGTGAAGCTGACCTTCCTGGGAAGCGCAGCCTTGTCCAGAGAAGAAAGCAACTGGGTTGGTTCACCAGGAGGGATTTCAGTGCACTTGAACCTGACCTGGGAGCTGCACCTGACCGAAGATGTGGTTTAACAGGTTATCATTATGATTGTGTTCTGCTTTTGTTTTTACTGGAATTCCCAGGTTTCCTTCCATTGGTTCTTCCTGCATCATGCAGGGTGAACAGAGTGATGCCTCCTTCTTGAGACAGGTGGGGCTCTAATTCAGACATGCCTGTATAAGCTGACCAGAGAGGCTAAAGTCCTCTCAGGTGTTCAAGGAGAGCCCCCAACAGTGGTCCTCAAAATCTGTAACAAGCCCTACAACTCAGCTGCTGCCGATGCAAGGGGGTCTGAGTCTGGGGCGTTGCTGTTGGCCTGGTGTGAGGTTGTATGCTGGGGTGTGTCTTGGGGCGATACTGGTAGAGATTACTTTTAGCTGGTGGTAACCTTTTTGTGTTGGAATATCCAGTGTGATATTTAGAATTCTCGAGGCATCCTGGGAGAAACATCTAGACAACAGGCTTCTTAGACAGAGAACAATGCCAGCGATGGTATTCTTTCTTCCTTCTCCTGGGTCTCACAAACTCTTACCTATCTCTGCCATACTAGCCCTCTCCTAACGATGTGCCAGAATTTGTCTGATAAATGGGAAGTATAATTTTTGTGATTCTATTTTCAGAATTCTATTTCCTGGTTTCAACATTGAACTCTGTCCAGTCAAAGGGTTCATTCTGCAAACCTAGCCAGTGCAGGGCCAGGTAACTGGGAGCAGAGGAGGCAGACTGGCATCAGCCCGTGCACAGGTGTAAGAACAGGGCGCTGGCATTAGAGGACAGGAGGACTGGCCTTGGTGGCAGTTAGGCAAATCCTTGGCAATTTATCCTTTTTGCAGTGCTGTGACAATGAATGCTGGGTTGGTGTTTGGGAAGATACTTTAAACCTGATATAAAACAAGCATATTTGAATTTAAGACCAAATGTTCATATTATCAGTCATCATATTTAACCTCCAGTGAACAAGCTTGGTTTACGAGTGTTTAAACCAAAGCGAATACGGTTTTCCACTTTCATCTACTGATTGTCCGTGGTTGGATTAAGCTCTATCTAACCCCATTACCACTCACTGGGTTTCTAATTCTCTAATTTTACCCCACATGGAGAATTTCATAAACTCTGCAAATCGTAAGTTAAAATTTTACAATGTCAAACTGACCACAAAATCGATTAAAGATGGTATTTTAAAGGTAATATTGGTAAAGATGTAGTTAGAGGCACTCCTGCTACCAACCGTAGTGTAAAGTGGTATAAACTTTGTAGAAGTGAATTGGTGGTATGTAAAGAGCTTTAAATGTATAACTGCCTTTCAGGAGTTGGAGCTCCAGTGATAATAAATACTAAGGAAATATCAAAAGTTACAATAGAATTTTAATGCCCCAAAGAACTTCTGTTTCAGGCAGAAGGGGTAGGAACACAGGTAGTAAATAATGTGCTTACTAAGTAATGAATTATATATTAAAAAATGATAAGTGCTGGGCCCTCCGTGGTGGCACAGCACTAAGAAGCTAAAGCCACTTCAGCATGAGTTTGATCCCAACCTCGGAGGTGACCCACATGGCTCTGCAGACCTCTCCTAACCCACCCGCTACTCCCCTCAGCAGTGTACTTCGATGATCTGCCTGTCCTGCTCCCCACGCTGTCTCTGGTGAATCCTCTCACTGCCTCTGCACTTCTGGCCCGTACCCCAGTTCTATATACATAAATAAATAAATCTTTTTTAAAAAATGAGAAATGCTACAGATTAAAAGAAAAATATCAAACAGAACAAGGGACTTCATGAGCTCTATGATGAGAATGGATTGTGATTTTAAATGATACAATTTGAAGGAAGCCTCATGGTGAAGGCAGCATCAAAGAAAAGACTGGAAGGAGGGAGGCCATTAGCCAGAAATGTGGAGGAGAGCCTTCAGGCAGAGAGAGTAGTCAGCATCAGAATCAGAGGATGTAAAGCATACAGTGTGAGCTCAACTTTGCAAAACATATATGCATCTATTTTATCATATATTTAAAAGAGAAGTGTTTTTAAATTCTTAAAGCATCCACATTACTTTGGTAATTTATCTAAACTTGATCTTGTGATTATCTTTCGTGAAGGGCAATGATGAAGGAATTCCAAGGAAGATGGAAAAAGTAGCATGACTTTTCCCCTCATGTCTTTTCCGCTAATACTTTTTGACTAGTGGTAGAAACCTTATTTTGGTGAAAAAAAAAATCACAGTATTTTGCAAGCAGGTTGTAAGTAGTTGAATCAAGTGGTCAACTGAAATATTAAATTATCTTACACAAATTATGTCTTAAAGATATTTTTGTAGAAAGGAGTAAAATGCTGTCATTTAAAAAAAAGTGTTACATATTGAAGTAGAATTTAGGACACCTCTGTCTTTAGGGTAGAATATTTTATTCATCTAGTTTTCTCAATGAGTTTGATTCCCCAGAATGGCACTCTCTCCTTAATTTTTTTTTAAAAGATTTATTTATTTGTGCATACAGAACTGGGGTACAGGCCAGAGGCTCAGGGGTGGCGACAGGCTTCACCAGAGACAGAGTGGGGAGCAGAACAGGCAGATCGATGGAAGAATTACACTGCTGAGGGAGCAGCGGGCGGGTCAGGAGAGATCTGCCGTGCCATGTGGTCACCTTCGGGGCTGGCGGGAATAGAACTCATGCGGAAGTGGCTTTAGCTTCTTGGTGCGGTGCTTTAACCCGCTGCGCCACCACGGAGGGCCTCTCCTTAATTTTTTAATTTAATTGTTTTATATAATTTTCTAACTTTATAAAATTGTATCAGTATTTAAGATATCTTTCCACTTCTCCCAACTAAACTGAAAAACACAATGGTGCTATGTTTATTTTCTATCTTAAAAATTTAAATAGATATGATTGTTGCTATCAACTGAACATTTATAGTTATCTTTCCACTGACAAATTAGTTGACACAGTAGCCAAGAGGAAGTAGAGTCTATGAGGGAACAGGTTTCTGTTTTGAAGTTCTCTACGAGTATTATAAACAGAAGAGAAAAAAGTGATCTCAGAAATGATTAACACTCTTACTCAGTGCCAAACACACACTCTTTCAACCAAATTCCTTTTAAAATTTTGTAGTTGGCCAGTTCCTGAGGAACATAAATAGGGACAAAGCAATAATCGTTGATACTTTCAGATCTATAAATAAATACTTTATATATATATATATATATATATTTAAAACCCTAAAAATTTATGGGATAATTTATACACTCTGGCTGATAGCTGTATGAATGGCCTGCATATATTCATCATTGTTTAAAATTACAAGGACAATTCTTTGAACTATAGTTTCATATGATGCCTTAGGAGTCATCGATGGAGGTAATTGGTCCATCTTGAAATCCAGAATTTCTTTTTAGTCATTTAAGTGCATTGCTGTGAGCTGCCCTGCTTATTTCTCTCTGTAAATAAATGCAGTATCAGGCACTTTACTTGACTTTGATTAAACCAATTTACTTCACACCAAAAATTTTATTGATTCTTTGAAAAATAATGTTCAGTTTTAGAATGAGTCTTAATTTAAGGAACTTGTATGCATTGTTTTCAGTTTGCTTGTAAGTCTAGTTGGGACGATGGAAGAGAAAAGTCTCAATGTGCAATGACATATGTAACCTATAACTGAATCCTGAAGGACCTTGGCTTTGACTTCATGAGCTAGTGAAGGTCACTGCTCTACTCTGGAAAGCTGGGAGAACAAGTCTCACCGGGGCTTTATTCCCCAACCATGTAAATGTTTGCCTACTTCTGTTTTTTCCTCTCTGATTATCACTCTCTCAGAGACACAAGTTGAGAAACTAAGATTCATAATTCCCCAGGGCAAGAGACAACATCACAGCCATTTAACAGAAAAATACCTGAGCAGTGGCAGTGTCTTGCAGAGGTGTGACTTGAACTCAGACCCACTGGGAGCCTTTCCCAGCCCTGGCTCTCACTTAACTTGATTTTACCATGGATTGGGCCACTTCCTTCAGCCTTCTGTATTCTTTTCACAATGAAAGCATTGAACTTCGCAATTATGTTTTGAGTTTTATGACTTCAGCCATCAAATGTCCTGCTTCGGCTGTGTTTCTCCTTAGTGCATGTTCTAAAAAATTTTAAGTACCAATATGTAATGATGACCATTTGCTTTTGGTGTCATAACTGTTTACATTTTTTAACTTGAGTTCTGAGTCTGTTGCCTTTATACTAGGTTTTATCTTATTTTAAACTTCTTTGTGTATTTATACTCAACGACCTGTGGATGCCTGTCCCTCCGCAGGTTTTCAGTAAAAACATTTAATGAAGAAGCTGCACATAGGTTTAAGAGAATCTATTTCAGCTGATATATTTCACAAATTTGATGGTTTCTCTGCAGAAGTAAAAATACTACCTTAGCTTTCTCCTTACACACATCTTACTACTAGCCACCAGAGGGGAGATTAATATAAGAAATACAGCCGCTAGAGACATCCCTACTAACTTCTGACCCTCTAACATGAAGCTCCTCTTTTCACCTTTAATTGATTGAAGATTATGGTGCCTGGAACTATTTTTGAGAATAATTTTGATCTGAGGTTGGGGGGAAAAAAGACATGTGTTCCTTCTGAGCTCTGCTCTTTCATTTTTCTAATGGACTCTTCACTATTGTTTTGTCTGAATGCAGTTTTTTATTTGTGTTATTCCAGACGTGGTCCTACCACAAGCATCTTTAAACCAGACATTAATAGCATAGTTCACAGTCATTACTGCCAGTGCTCAAACACAAATATTGCATTTGTGTTTGCAAAAGCTACACATCAGATGTTAATTAAGTGCATTTGGTTTTTCCTGCTTAAACAATCTGGCATAAAGAGTTTACATCTATATCAGTTCACCATAAGGTCTCTACAATATCTGAATCACCAGCCGCACAGTATATGATAAATACAGTGTTTCCACACAAGAAAATAACAGAATTGTCAGGAAAACATCAGGCCTGTTATATTTGCCTGTGAAATAATAGCAACTGAATCTGTTTCTTTTTCTTTTTGATAAAAAAAGTATTTAACTGGAAGTAAACACCAATATTTAGAATGATAAATTTTTCATTAAAGAACACATGGAAAGTGAAATGATACCAAGGATTTTTTTCCTTGTTTTTAGCTTGCTTCAGGGCGTTGTGACAGTTGCATTGGAATAAAATTGGAATTTCAGCTTTGCAGTGAGGAGATTCATGCTCCGCCAGAGCAGCCGAGTGCCAATCTGCAGGAGGCAGGAGCGGAGCGAAACCGCAAACTGAGAAACAAACTTTCACATCAGGTTTCTAATTTTAGAGCAAAAAATGGAATTACTTTAATTATATGACATTTAGCTAGAAATACGATTTTCTGGGATTAATTATCTCTTATTTAAGAATTCTTACTAAGCTTAAATTAACAGAATATCAAATTCAGCATTTGGATCAAGTCAATGGGATCTGCAGGATTTAGACAGCCTTTCGACTCATGACAACTGGGTCACCATGTTGGTGCTGGACTTGGGCAGGATCACATGGAGGACACTGGAAAAGCATGCTTCAGGCGGAAAGCAGTTTGCCTGCTTGTTCTGTCTCTTCTTTCCCTTTCTGTCTTTTTCAAGGGAGAAATGAGTAAAGGCCTCACAGCCTCTGGGGCAGGTGGAGGGGGGTGAGGGTGGAACTCCTGTGCTGATTAGGTCAGAAACTTTCAGATTCATAAGCTGTCTTTGTTTACTCACTGCTTGAATAAGATAGAACAATAAAGGAAAATAAATTTATTGTATTAAGTTTAATAGAAAAATTAAAACTACATATAACCAGAGCATGAGTATTTGTGTTAAGTGGTTAATGCTTATTTACAAGAGAATATACAAGCTACACCTGATATTTAACTTATTTTTTTAAGAAATGAAAGTCTGCTTTGATGGAATTTAAAAGAGTTCATCTATAGAAAATAGGTATTGGGGCAATATATTCTTTTTTCAAACACTTATGCTCTGGACATAATTATACATTTTTAAATAATTTATCTTATGAATTAATTAGTAAGAATGATGAAGTTTGGAGGTTATGTCAAAAAGGGTGCTATTGTTGGGCACATGTTGGTAAAAACTTCCTTGAGATTGCGGCATGAGGGTTCAGGAAGAGTCCTAAGTCCCGTGGCTGTGGGGACAGAGAGACATATGCCGTGGTTGTTTGGAAAGGAGGACCCCTCTCCTGTGCAGGAAACTCTGTTGTGTTTGTGACTTGCTCCCCAAACTGGTAAGTTTTATGTGAATATCTCAATGCTGATATGACAAGTAAGAGTGTTGGAATATTCTAGCACAGTGACCCACTAGGCATTTTGAATAGTTGTGTTGACGATAACCCAGTGTATGTGTGTGTGTTTACTTCAGCAAAATCTGAGAGTGATCCAGCCGTTTGTTGGAAATGGTAAAGGTGCTGCTACTCGCTGAGTCAGAATAGGGTATGCTCAGCAGACCTGAGGACACGTAAGGGCTAGAGGAGGGATGTTGTTCCAACCCATGCTTGGATGTTTTCCGTTAATGAATGACATTAGCATTGACAAAAGAAAATTTCCAATTGTACTCTGTAAAACATTAAAATTGATATAGTTCTCAAAGATCTTTAGAGTAAGTGATTGGTATATGAGATTATGAGAGCAAGATGTATTGACTGTTAGGAAATTTAATTTTTATGAAATCAGCATTATGGAGAAATACTGTAATTTGATTCATTCCTGCAGAATTCCCAGTAGAAAGAGGCCTGGCCTCGAGAATTGAAATGTTTCATTATGTACATGTGTGGGAAAAAGATGAAGTGTGGTTTCCGTGTGCTGATTTTCTGTAAAGCTTCTATTAGTATGAAAGTACCCAGGCTAGGCAACAAAGCCCCCAAACCACTGCGGTCTAGGGGAATGTGAACTCAGAAGGATATCTCTGATGGATACTGACATTGTGAGCAATAAGTTCAGAAGTAATATGAAAAAGCATTGACAGTTAAATAATGTTGAAATGGTAGTTAAAGAATTGTTATATGCTAAGAATGAGGTCAGCCTTTATTCCCCATCAATGCCTAGTCAACTTTGCTCTCAGAAACGTAAGGTTCCCTCAACATGAGGAAACTGCAAACCTAAGCTTTTTATACCAATGCTAATTTAACCAAGTTGTCCATCTTATAATGTAAACTATAATTAGAGCGGGGGCTATTTATGTAACATGAGCTGCACTATCCCTGAGGCAGGGAAAAGTAGGACTCTTGAGTGGCAAAGGCAGCTCTAGTCCCCTGGAAAACTGGGGGTGGAAGGCATGCCGCAGAAGACCTAGTGTTCTCCAAATCCTTGTCGTCATGAACTATTACAAGATTCCTTTGCCCATCTCGATTCTTGTTTGTCATGACCCCAACCAAGAGTGTTGTTGAGGTCTATAGAATTGCATGTGAACCTAACTTGGTGATGAGAGATGTTTATTTGGGGAGGAAGGGGTGGCTACAGTGTGTGAGTTATTCTTGTCTCTCGGACTCTTAGGCCATGCACTGAGTTCCAGCCCCTGTGGGGATAATCTTGGAAATGAATGGAAGGCCAAAGCTTTTTACTATGCTAATATTTAATTTTCAAGTGTGATTTCTTTTTTCTGTTGATATTTTGGAAAATAAGGGTTCTTCATAACTACTCTGGGGTAAAAATCCCCAAATATTTAGAATATTAGATTTTTGTATTAGTATTTAGATAGTAATTAGAAAGTATTTAGTACTAATCTCTAGTAATAGAGTAGGGAAAAAAAGTCTGCTGTAGCTCAAATATCTGTTAGAAAATATATGTATGATCTTTAGAATGCCTATATGTCCTTTGACAATGAGGAATCTTTGTATTGTTTTAAATTTAAAACCAAGTAAAGGAAACTCCTTTGACTAAAATTGACTAAAGCAATCTTTAAAATGAGGGTTTTCCCTTGCTTGGTTAACATACTTTTCTAATGATGCAGGCATTGGTGCCAGCCCATACGTGATGAACTGCAACGTTACCATAGATTCTCAAGACTTGGCTTTGGGGAAGGAGATCGCTAGTGCCATTCGGGGCTCGAATGTGAATGGATTGAAGGGAGTCCAAGTGATGGCTTTTCCCCATGAAGGGAAGATTGAGATAGCTTGCAATGTAGAGAGTTTTGAAGACCAAGAAGTTACAGAAAACTGGGAAGACTCTCAATACATCACTTATGGTGTCCTTGGTAATCATTTTTCTTACATATCTCCTCATTACATAGAAGCCCAAGTTAAAAAGTTGGCGAATGATAGGGGAATTGGTACTCTAGGGAGGGCACTAATTGGATTTACACCCCAAGAATGCAAGAACTGTGCTGAATATGCTATAAAGGAAAATATTGGGGAATTCTGGAAGATACGGGGAGGTGTGTTCATGTGATTTGATGTAAGTCTTCATTAAAATTTTAAGGAAAACTACCAATCATTATAGTCTTCTTTGGGCCAATGAAGATGAGGGGTAGATAGAGAGAGCTTAATTGTAACTCTGTGTTGGAAAATTAGAAGCATTTTCTGTTCAAGTATTTATAGATTGTTCATAATCACCTTTAATATTTCTAGTCATCATTACAGCTGCATTAACTTTCTGCCTCCTGTGTACTCAGATGCCTCCTGAATCAACAGGGTTTAATGGCCACATTTGCTGAGCCACCTTTAATTATTGTGGAGAGAGCAAAACTGAACTTGATTTGTTTTCCTACACTCTTTAGTCTCAAGTTTTGTATTCAGCTCATACTTTCTGAGTAATTACTTTTTTAAATGTGTGCTTTAAAATGTCAAACACTAAGTGGTTAAAAAGTGGGGGAAATTGTAAAATAAAATTCCGCTTTCAAAGCATGATTGCTTAGGATGACCAATTACTGTTCATTCTGGACATAACTCTAAAAGCCAGATTTATCTAGTTCTTTACTGCATGGAAGGGAAATGGTATGGTGACATTGGACATGGCTTCAGTGAATTGCGTTCATCCTTTTTGGAATTTAAATGGGAAATCTGAATGGGGATATGTTGCTTTTGAGCAGAGAAAAATAGCAGTGGAAGTCTGTGGGTGCCTTGTTGATGGGTGTGTTGTAGGGTGTACAGTTGAAGAGGTGTGATCTCCCTATACCTCTGAATCGCATGTTGTAAACCAATGTTACCTCAGTAAAATAAAATATTTATTTAAGAGAAATAAACATATAGCCTCATTGTGAACTAAAAGGTGTCACTTGTTGATGATCCTGGTAACTTCATGTAACTCCTTAGTATTCATATTGCATTAGTACAAGATATTCTCTTTACAGAAAATACACAAAAGTAAATTTTTCCTTAGGTTTTTGTTTAGCAAGAAGGGTTATGGTAATTTCTAATAAGAACACATAATGTGACTTTATATAAGAAATTAAAAATAAAGTTTGAACTGAAAATTTTTATATGATCCAGTGATTGATCCAAGTGTATTTTAACTTACATTTGATTCTTAAATCTGATAGCATTAATCTTGCTCTAGAATGTGCTTCTCTTGGCGTCTTCTCCTCACTGTCAATATAAATACGACAAAGATAGAGAAGGGTGGACTGAGTTTGGTGTTTAGGCATGAAGAAAGCTAGTTGCTCTGGTGAATAGAGCATGCTGTCTAGTTAGCCTGGAGGGTCAGTTTCTCAGTCTGTGAGTTTCTCAGTCTCAGAGGTTCTTTCACATTGGCACAGGCCACATGGCCTAAAAGAATGAATGGATTGGAGTGTATGGGTTCCTTTGACCTCCATGTAGCTCCATTTTATTACCTGTCAAATAGTAAAAACAGTCCCCCCTATGACCAGTGGCTTCTTCTGAGGGACTAAACAGAAGTACTTTGAAGCTGTAACATCAAAATGAAACGTCAATACATTTTCCTAATCTGTTCTAGGGCTTTGCTTCCGTTTGGGGCACCAATATTAAACAGATGAGTGAGGGGAAGCACATAATGACCCAGAGTTATTTTAGGCTGTAGGGAGAAATGATTTCATTCAACAGTTACCTGAACTAACCTCTCCAGACTGATGTCACTGCATTCAAGACTGCTGACTATGAGCAAGGCCTATTTGAAACCAAAAACATCTATTTTATGGGTACAGAGTTTCAGTTTTGGAAGATGAAAAAAAAATCTGGAGATGGATGGTAGTGGTGGTTTCCCAAAATATGAATACTTTGTGCCACTGTATTATATATACACTTAAAAATGATTAAAATATATATTTTTTGCCATAGTTCAATAATAAAAGGCATATATTCCATGAATGTTAAAAAAGCCCAGACATCTTAATAAGAATTTCACAAAACTCATACAGTCTAATTAAAATGTCAAAAAAATTTCAATATTCATTAATGTATAGAGACATGTAAGACCTGTTATTCCCTTTTTAATATTATGATAGACCCTGGCACCACATGCAAGGCTTAGTTAATGGTTTATAATAGAGTTGATTAAATTAGCTTTGATCAGGCTATTAAAATGCAATCATTTACTATTGAAGTTATAATTTTCCCACTACTTACCTCTTCTTATTATTCTCAATCCCTTTTCTCTCTATTGTCCTTTTCTCTTTCCCTTCTCCCTCGCTGCCCCAAGGTTTTTAGGAAATCTGAAACAGCTGTAAGTTGCAGACTTTCCAGTGGTAGATTCTGTGTCCTTAGCTCTTTCTCTGCACACTGGTGGAGCAGCCTGGATGGGGCTAGAACAACTAGGAAGGATTGTCAGGTTGCATTGAGGAAATCGACAAAATGAACTATCCAATATCTTGATTCATAATAAACTTTCCTCTTATTGGCCTCTTAGGAACAAGCCAGCTATTTGTGCAAATGTGTCTTCAGTATTTTTTTCCATTGGACCACAAAGCGGACTTTGTATGGAGTGTGGCTTCATAGCTCATTTAACCTCCATTTCCTGCCAGCTGACTCTGCCCATGACTTGTGCCAGTTGTGAATAGAACAAAATTGATGTGGACAACTAGAGTTCACATTTTATCAACTCTTTCATGTTTTCACTTTACCCACCTTGAAATAAAGCAAAAAGCTAAGCGATGATGAGAGTGATAAGGGTTTTTGTTGTAGGTGTGTGAGTGCGTGTGTGTGCAGGAGGCGTTGGTCATTTGTTTTCAACCGAAATTTGGTTTTGATTCAATAAGCAATTAAAACTACTACAACATAGGGGAAGATATGCACTAAGTAAAACAACCGTAAAATAAAACAAAATGGGAGGTAATAATTTCATCCCTCGACAGAAAGAAAAGTCTTGCTCTGTAATTGGTTTGTACTGTCTTGGAAGTGGTGTCCACAGCCCACAGAGGCCCACTCTAAGAGAGATCTGCAAGGAATTTATCATTCCCTCTGGCTGAGCCAAAGCAGGCTTGATATACAGTTTTGTTTAGTATAAATATTCTCAAGTTACTGTTTACTCTGAGGGGATATGAGGATCTCACTGACAGGGTACGTGCTCCACTGCCTGCTTTTAAAAGGCATTTATTTGACTCTGTTGTTTGTACTTGCCCAGAAACTTCAGAGAAACAGCCCAGGAACTTGTTTGATAAGCATCCAGACCATGCTCCCGGAGTGTGTCGCTCTCGGGGGTTAGAAAAGCTTATTGTTTTAAGCAGGCCCGCACACGGCTTCGAAGGAGCCCATTTTTCATAGGTAACAACAATGAGGACACTAGCAGCAGACTCTTAAAATGCCTCTCAAAAGTCTAGCAAAGGTGTAAACGATGGTCCCAGTGAGCATGGTTCTGGTTGATCTCAGCTTTGCATGGATTTCCCTGCCACAACTTTTGTTCCTAGTTGACATATTTGGAAGCAGGTTAGTTTGTTCATTGTGATGTGAGTCAGAGATATAAACATGGGGTGGATAGCTTTCTCTGTGTATGTAATGTGCGTATCTTCCGCTATTGTCTCTCCGCCTCACACCTACCCTTCTTGCAGGTCCATCTGCTGCAAGGACTCTGGAAGCTCCTTTTGTCAGCTCACTCCCCTGTAGACTGCCACTGTTGTATCTGCATAGTGGGGGCTGCAGGACTGGAGGGGAGGGACTTACCTTCTAGTTTGCGCCCTGTTTCTGGCAGCCCCGTCTCAGCAGTGACCTGCCAGTGGCTCTGGTTTCCAGGCTCTGTTTTTGACACATTCAGAACGATCCTGACTGTCATCAGGTGCAGGGACTGTGCCTCGGCTCTGCAGGGTCTCTCCCGTAAACTGCTGTGCTCAGGACCCAGCACCCAGCCTGCCTCCCTCACTCCTTCAGCTTGGGGAAATGGCACTTCTGCAGTTAGTTCTCTGGGGTGCCATGTTCTCTCATTGTTCTTTTAGTTCTTCAACTGTTGACCAATTTTTAATATTGTCTCTTTTGAAATACTTACTGTGGTTTCTTTTCCCTGACTGGATACTGTCTGAAATAAACCCATCAGAAGACCCAACGGAAGGAAGGACAAATAAGGCAGAAATATTCAGTGTGGATTTAGTCTTAATGAAAGCAGTCCATTGGTGAATGCTTGCCTTTTTTTCTCATTAGTATTTTATTATCTTAATTTAATTGTTTTCTTATTGTCAAATTTTATGTTCCCTTTTACAGTCTTGTTTTGTTTAGTTTTTCGCTAATAAGGGGTCTGAATATTGACTTGGGGCAGGGATGGGAAATTCGGCAAACCATTAGGTAGACTTTTCCAATGAATGCCTTTCATGTAGTTGTTTATTCCACTACTTAAAATGTAGATTAATATAATTAAAGAATTGCAAGCTGGGCCTCTTTGGTGGTGCAAGGGGTTAAGTCTCAGCACTGTGAAGCTATTGGCAGCCACTGCCGCACAAGTTCAATCCCACTAGGGAGCTGACCCACATGGCATAGCAGACCTCTCCTGTCTCGCCCGCTGCTCCCCTCACCAGTGTATCTAAGTATATCTGCCTGTTCTGCTCCTCACACTGTCCTGGTGAGCCCCTCCTATTAAAGGGCAACCCAGTGTGAACTGGGTTGCCTGCCTGTGGGTCCTCACCCGTGCACTTAAGATTCAACTGCCTGCACACACACACAAAAAAGTCAATAATGGGTTTATTTACAAGGGGGAAAAGGAAGGAAACAACTGGGGTGAGGCGGGGAGGGGGCGAGAGAGAGAGAGAGAGAGAGATACATCCTACCCGTTCCTTGATCTTGGAATCCCAGTAGCTGGCTGAAAGCTGATCAAGAGCCAAGTGACCAGCCGCCAGCCACGAGGCCAAGAGAGAGACAGAGACTCTTGTCTCTGTCTGATCTTATATCCAAACCCCAAAATGGCTGCTTAACTCTTCCCTTGGGTCCTAGCAGTCTTCCCTTTGGTGTTGCTGGGATTTGTAGTTTTGGTGTCTGGAGCGGGGGTGGAGTCCACAAAACTTGTGTCTGTAGAGTTCATTCAGGACAGCCTTTCCCCCTAATACTCCCACCCCCTTCCCTTCCCCACCCCCCGCACCTCTGGTCTACACCCCAGCTCTTATATGCATAAATATATAAAATAAATTTTTTTTAAAAAGAATTGTAGACCCTCCCTGGTGGCGCAGTGGGTTAAAGCGCAGCACTGGGAAACTTAAGCTACTTCCGCATGAGTTCAATCCCCGTCTGCCCTGGAGGTGACCACATGGCGTGGCAGACCTCTCCTGACCCTCCCGCTGCTCCCCTCAGCAGTGTACTTTGTGGGTCTGCCTGTTGTGCTCCCCACTCTGCTCTGGTGAAGCCTCTCACCCTCTACATCTCTCACCTGTACCCCAGTTCTATATGAATAAATAAATCTTAAAAAAAAAAAGGAATTCTAATCTTTCAATCTTATAAATCTTATACTTCTTTTTCCTGTTGTAGCTATTTTCACCTTCTAGGTAAATGAAGCCTTTTAGTTGGTGGTAAGTTCCATCCCCAATAGCATTCCCAAATCATCTATGTAATATCCTATTAGCTTTTTCTTAGGAAACTGCACCTGCAAGCCAGTCATTGTTTCCTAAATTCTGAAGAACCTGTATTTTTATGAAGACTAGCCACTTCAGAAAAAATAAGCATTATTATTGAGGTAGTATTGAGTAGTGGGTCTACTACTCACGGTTCTACTACCCACTGTTACAAAACTATTTTGTGTCTAGT